TTTTTAAATAAAATCAGTTTCGTTGTTTAATCGCTGGGATGCGTACGTGTTACATTTATAAAATCAATGTGATTAGGATAAATGAGTTTTATAAAAAAAAAATTAGCTTCGTCACGGTTCTTTCTGTTCCGCAGCCTATACAACTCGCCGCCTTACGGATCAACAACAGTTTCGAAAAACGCATCGAGCTTGCAGAGTTCGTACTTAAGCTCTTACACATCGTCAAGCTCGATGACGCAGTATCCGTCCTATGCCAGTTACAATAGCGGGACGACTTTCCCGAACATGGCGCAAAATATATCATCGGCCTCTCAAGTAAGGGCAGACGTAATAACGTTAAATTTCACGTTCTAAAATATTTCCTTGGTTTGGGTTCTCAAATAAAACATTTCTACTCTTTTTCCGCAGAAATTAGACTATAGCGCTTACAGCAGTAGTTTGTACGGAAACGACAGGGTACCGCTCCAGTATTCCGGATATTATCCTATGCCCGGTTATCATGCACCGCCAGCTTCGTTTAATATCGGAAACATCAACTTCGCTGGTAATTTTTTATTGTTAGACCGCGCTTTCTTATTTCTTGCAAGATATAAATGAAATTTCTTGTAAGATGCCTTGGTAAAAAATAGTTACATACACGAACTGTTGGAAAAGGACAGTGGTACAAAAATAAAACTTTTGTATTAGTCATTTAATTGGAAGATGATTTCAATCTAATTTTAAATATTAATGTTAAAATATACTGCATTAATATTCTGAAACTTAAATATTCTAAATTTCCTCCAAAATAAGTGAATGATATAAATAAGAAGTTTTACAATTCAAACAAAAATCACTTGCGTGTTTAGTGGCCTTTACCAAACAGTCGCAATTAACATTATTTTGTATGCGTAAGAAGATTCGACCAAATCCGCGCTCACGTTAGATCCAACGACGCACGATGCGAGCGATCTGACCGCACGGGAAACCGCAAATATCGAAGGTAATATAATATAATCTTGCATAATATATTTTTCAAAAATATGTGAAAGAAATAATTTAACGTATATGTATAACGATGAAGAAATGAATATTGATGAAATAATGTGTATGACGATTTTTATATAGTAGCAACGACGAAGCCCTGCAGGCGCGGAAGAAGACAGAGCGGAAGCGGAAACAGTATCGGTTCCGCGGACACGACGGAAGCCGGCCCCGAGCGTATATTCATCTGGGACCTCGACGAAACCATAATCGTGTTTCACTCCCTACTAACCGGACATTTTGCCACCAAGAACCGTAAGGATGCAAATCATCTGGCTCAAGTGGGGTACAGAATGGAAGAGATGATATTCAATTTGGCGGATGCGCACTTTTTCTTCAATGACGTCGAGGTGATAGAAATTTCCTGGCATGTATAAATTCTATACAGGATGACTTACCGCAGAGGCAGAATATTTGAATAGCTTTTATAGATATTCCAAGGTATAAAAAAATATTTAACTATTTTACACAATTGCTTAATTAACATTCCGGACAATATTATATATATATATAATCTTAACGATTATATAATTATTTATTCTATTTCTTAAAAAAAGTACTTTCTAAAAAATAGTATAAATATTACAAAATGTTACTTATCAATACTATTTATAAATTTGCAAATAATATTTGAGATATTTGGTCTAAATGTCCAATGCGGTTCGTTTCCTGAGAGGATCCATGAGTTGACCATATGTTCTTTAAAACATCTGCATGACTACCTGATATAACACAATATGGGATTTCAGCTTCAGAACACAATGAATTTTTCTCTCAATATTTTCGAAAATAAAAAAGAAATTCCAAACCTAGATGGACCATATTTGGACCACGTGCTTTACAATATATGCCGTGACAATTACGCATGATATATATTACCCGTATTTTCAAACGCAAATGCAAATTTGTAATTTAGCGTACTACTTTTTCTTTTATAGGATTGCGATCAGGTGCATATAGACGATGTTTCGTCGGACGACAACGGGCAGGACCTGTCATCCTACAATTTCGCGACCGACGGTTTCCAGTGCGCGACTGCGAACAATGGGATATGCTTGGCATCCGGTGTGCGAGGAGGTGTTGACTGGATGAGGAAGCTAGCATTTCGTTATCGTAAAATCAAGGAAATTTATTGCAATTATCGGAACAACGTGGGTGGCCTCCTAGGTACAGCCAAGCGCGAGCAGTGGCTGCAGCTACGTTCCGAGATCGAAATGTTGACGGATAACTGGTTGACGTCGGCAGTGAAGTGTCTGAACATTATCAACAAGAGAAGCCATTGCATCAACATTCTAGTGACGACCACGCAGCTGGTACCCACGCTCTCCAAAGTTCTGTTATTTGGCATCGGCGGAATATTTCCCATAGAGAATATATACTCGGCCTCCAAAATTGGTAATTAAATATAGAAAGAAATAATTAAATAACAATCCAAATAATGTATAACTATATTAACTATATCACTTGATCACACATAAAGCGGGCATATTATTTGGTTATTTTTTACGTTATTTTCGTTGTAGCAAAATAACATTTTTGTTTTAGGAAAGGAAAGCTGTTTCGGTAGGGTGGTCGCTCGATTTGGCCGCAGATGCACGTACGTGGTGATAGGAGATGATTCAGACGAGGAAACGGCAGCGCGGGCGCATAACTTTCCCTTTTGGAGGATAAATAGTCATTCAGACACTCAAGCCCTATATACTGCCTTAGAAATGGGATTCCTTTAATCAAAAGCATACACGAAAACCAGTTTATATCAGAAAACATTTCGGTCATATGGAAAATTGCATGGCGCGTATTTCTGTACGATTAGCAAGAAAAATTAGCGATAAAACCATGCTTAACACATACATACACACACATACATTCCTTCACTTTCTTTTTCAGCTCTTTTATCATTCCTATAACTTTTACCGTGTGTAATATACGTAAAAGAAAAAAGTCGACTTTCGCAACTGTCGTAGTTATATATGCTCGTCGATATTAAAATTCGCGAGTTCGGTCGGACGTCTCGTCCGCAAGTGATATAGAAAGAAAGTAAAATTTTAGCGATAGCAAAAAATTTGGAGAACAAAGATTCATGTATAATAAGATTCTCTTTCGTGCGGTTTTTTAGTGTTGGCACTTAGTCACGTGTACTATACATAAAACCGAGAAACGGAATCTGTGAAAAATATATTATATATACATATATAAATATAAAATAATATACGTTTCATGTACTTAAACGCACTACGTTTGCATCTTTTTTCTTCAGATAATAACAAAATCAAAGGATTTTTACTAGTATGTGCTAATAGATTCTAACAGAACAGATTTTTTTTCATTGATATTCTTTACACAACTTGTAAACGGATTTACATAATTTTTCACAAATTATTATTATAGATATAGATTCGCTTAATGTACCATGATATTTCCACGCGCAAATTTATTGCAAAGAATCAATTTAATCGTTTGTTACATTTCCATTAATTATACCCGCTTTATATCTATGTCTGTCATACTATCTGTATTTTTTTACATTCCTTTAGTATTTGTATCGCAGATATAAGCAACATTATGTATACTTTGAAAGTATCCATATCAATTATACACACACACCATATAATCTTACTGGACATAAATGCATTATAAGAAGTATTTATATATTTGTAAAAATACTATATAATTATTACCATATTTTGAAATTGTACAAGGCTATTTGACAAACGAAAAAATGCATTAAGTAATATAATAAAAAAAGAAGAAACGAATTAGTATAATTACTAATTACGTTGACATCGTTATGTGTAAAAACAGTTTATAAAAATTTTCTGAATATATCGTATTATTCGTTAACAAAGCTATTAATAAAAATATAATTGAAAATATAATATGTAATGACTGCTCGTGTCTAAAAAAACAAAAGATTGTAAAAGTGAAAGTAATTAACTTTATCCTTTGATAGAAAATTATGCATCAAGTCTATGTTAAATTATATATGGTACTAATTTAATATCAGCTATTCTGAAAATAAATTAATATTCTAAAATTCTGTTTTATTTAAAACGTATATATACGCCTGTTTGAATTTCATAAATAATTCTTATTTCTGATGTTAACATATTTCAAATTTAACATATTGCGATATACTGTATATCTCATTTTATTTCCAAAATCACCTCTTGATATCAATAAAAATTGTTTAAATTGCTTTTTTAATTACAAAATGTTTTATTTTCGTTCATTGTAAGTAATCACATTTTTTTTACTACATACAATCTTCATCAATTTATTAATTAGCTTGTTCGTTATGAAATATGTAACTAAATAACTAAATATTTTAGCCTCTCAATTTTTTTATATTTGAATATATGTATTTATTCACATACCTATTGGAAATATTAGAGAGCTTAAATGATGTGCCATTAATTCTTAGAAATAAAACTACAATTACATAGTAACATATGTGGGAGCAAGAAGAACTCCGCAATTGTCATCCTCCTGCGCCATTAGAATATATCCATCGTTACCCCAGTAATTCGACCAAGAATTCTTTATCAGCCAATAGCCTTTTCCATTCATAGTACCATATCCAACAGCCAGAACAGCATGATCTAACTTATCCTCGGTGTTGCCTATACACAAAAATATAACAATTGTTGACAAATTTAATTATTTTTTCAACAAATTTTTTCAACACTATAAATAATAAAAGTTTATAAGTATTTTACCACAAGCAGGATCATAATACACTCCATGAGCATAAAAAGAGAATGTCTTGTGGGAGGCATCGATAGCAACAGAAATAGGACCATGTTTAGCAATGGCGATTTTCAAAGCATCTACATTGCGTGGTGTAACATTAACGAAACCAGTAATCTTGGCTGTTAGTGTTACGTTATTTATGTGACAATATCCATCCTAAGAAACAAAAAAAGATTCTTTCGTTTTACATGATGCAAATTATATGAATGATCAGATACCATCAGTATTTAATAAATTTAATCAAATAATTTACCTGTCCCAAGTAGCCACCATAATCCTCTTCAGTAGGTAAGCCACCGTGTTTCATCATCCATTGATATGAACGGAAATCCTCTCCACCATCGCATCCATTATTACCATATCCCCATGAACAATCGATGAGAGCCTGCAGTATTAATACCACAATATTATTTATCGGCGATATAACCATTATACAATTATTATAATACTTGGCATTATAAATTCACCAGAGTAAAAATTCGTAATTGATGAAATAAAAAAAGTCAATTTTTATACTTCACGAACTGCTTACCTGTTGAGATAGGCGTACTAATTTATTATACTTCATATAATATGCACCTTCTACCGCACCAGTGGTACCAAAACTCCAACAAGAACCGCAAACAGACTGATCTATTAAATAAAGAATAATAATTATAATAATATATAGGTATTATTATTATTATGTATACATTAAATATGTTAACCAACAATAAGTTGCAAACCTTTGACTGGCGTTACAGCACCATACAGTCTCCAATCTAAACTTTCGGGAACATCTGCGATTTCGTTTTCGATGTCATGTAGAAATGGTGCTCCACCATTGTAGCCTGGAGTGTATTGCTTGCCACGCAAAGCCTTTAATTCGAGATCGCTACGATCCACCAAATGATTCACATCTAACTGATAACCTAAATTGGCACGGTTTGTAGAATGAATAAATCTGAAAAAAAAAAAAAAATTATTTACATGAAGCAATTATTTTTAGAGTATATATAATATTTATGCAGCATAAATATATACCTAATATTTTGTCTAAATAAATCTTTGCGATACATATGATCCAAGTCATCTTTGTAAGTTTTTTTGTGAGTTTTTTTAAATTCATCAAATGCTTCATGCAAATGATCCTCATAATTATGAATGAATTCACGCATTGGGTTAAAGGTGTATACGTGATTTTCACCTGGACCTGGGAAGCTGACACACTTAGTATCTGCAAATAATTTTATTGAAATGTAATTAAAAAGCCTTTATATATCAATTAACAACATCTGGAGAAATAAATATTAAGAATTTCACATACCTTCTATGATTTTAAAGACATCATCGGAAGGTTTGTCGAAGGAGTACCAATCATACTCCAAATAATAATGATCATAATGTGAACCCAAAAGACTATTAAATCCTCTCATTTCATACCTCACAGGAATAGGTTCCTTGACCTTTGGTAGATATGGCGATTTCTACAAAGATTGTTTCCTTTAGGTATTGTAGATTTATTTAATAAAATATACACAAATATAATTTTATTTTTACCTTATAACGTATCCAGAGAGTGTACTTATTTGTTTTTTCCCCAATTTCTTGTACTAGTCGCCATTTCTCACACAATAATCCATTGATCATCTCTTCTCCAATACACTGTAAATAATATATAAATGTCATTAAAAGTACTAATACATTTTTTCTTTTTTACGTACATACATATAATTCATAAAATTACAGAAATGTAAACTCTGCAATCTCATTTACCTGCATCTCAGATGCATCTGGAATAATAGATTGTGGTTGTATCTTAAGATCATTAGTACCATTCACTTGAAGACATGTTTCTTCATTATTAACAGTCTCTGTGGTAATAGGTGCTAATTTTATACTGGCTCCATATTGTCCTTTGTGAGCCAATTGAAAGGTTTTAACCATTCCTATTAGACAAAGAAATAGAGATTTATACGTTGCTCTCATGTTGTATATGTATGCTATAAACAGTTTATATTAAATTTAAAAATAGGGAATGAATAAATAGAAAATTAATTTTATTTTCAAGTACCTCCATAATAATCTATTCTACTGGAGCCACTGTTGCCATTATACCATGCATAGAAAGGTTCTCGAATTTCTGCATACGGTATATACAATGTTCCCTTCACTGTATATGTTTTACTGAATGTTGGAGCTGTCAAAGCTTCTTTGGGAAGCGCCGCTGCACACCATATTCCTACAACATTTAAAAATATTATATATATATACTCTTGTATACAATATTTTTTTAAATATATATATATGTATATGTGTGTTTCTCAAAGATACATATATAACAAATAAAGAAAAAATTACTAATGTATATGACTTACCACAGACTATTAGAAGTATGCTGCTATTCCTAAGATTAGACATTTTTACTGTCTCTGAAATACATAACATATGGATGAGTATATATTTAAGTATTTATCGACATTCTGATAACACAGCTGACCTAGCCAGATTACATTGATTGACAGGCGATCATATATGCGGCAATGGAATTAATGTGTACATTATTACATTATTTTATATTAAAAAGATAATTTAATCAAGAAAATATTGTCACAGCATTGAAATGTTATTTTATCATCAAATAATTTATCAAAGTAGCAGAAATATTGTAACTGGCAAAATCACTGTACAAATAAGTTAGATAAAAAAAAAATAAACATTTGTGTATCAGTTTTTAAAATAAAATTACATTACTGAGATAGAAATAAGTGAAAGTATAACTACTAACAGTGTGAAAATAATGTAAAAAAAATTAACGACTTTCAAATACCGGAGTAGTAAAATATGGAGCAGCTTAACATGTTTTATTCTTTACAAAGAATTCGAAGAATTTCTGACACGTGGTAACGATATTACATTGTCGAAAAAACTAAATTATGTTCATTTATCTCGGTTAAAAATAATAGTAATAAAATGGTTTATTAGAACGGAGATGTCGATTTAATTATGCGTATAAAATATACCTCAATTGCGACGCAAAAAGGTCTGCCTCTCGAGAGCAATAATAACCGAATGAGTAATTACAATAGTCAGTGCAACGAATCACTTTCTTATCTGTTTACGTTCGGTCTCGGAAATGTTCGGAAATGTCGAAGAGAAATTCCTTTGTAATTACGTTTACGTGAAGTCGAGTCTGTCGAGTGTCCGAGTGAACTGATAAGTGATAAGTGATCCCGATTGCCCATGTTGTCAATTGGTCGACTTGGCACAAGATCTTCTGATTGGTTCAAATAGGACAACTTTAAGCATCGGTCACTGTCATGTCAGAGGATCCTGAGAGCGGTCATAATATAATGAAACGTTTTATTCGATTCACATATTGAATTTATTGATTTACTATCGAATCCATATTATTACTTATCTATTTTATTACTTGTGAGGCACTTTTCTCAATTCGGTCCTGGATTTATCATGGTGGATGCTTAGGGTGCCGTCTCATGGCAGAGATTTTCACGTAACGCGTATTGCGTAACCAATCAGCTAGGCGTTACGCGATACGCGTTACATCGGTTACATGAAAAATCTCTGCCATGGGACGGCGATAAAAGTATCCGGTTCGAATCTTCGCTTAGTAGGGTTTGAGTCTCTGCTAAGTAGGGTTCGAACTTCGAATGCGCGCGCGCTATAAGTGCAGAAGGAGAATAAATTCAATAATTCTCTGCTAAAATGTGGTTCGAGTCTCTGCTAAGTTGGGTTCGAATCTTCGCTAAGTGGGGTTTAAGTCTCCGCTAAGTGGGGTTCGAAATGCACGCGCGCTATAAGTGCAGCGGGAGAATAAAAATTTCGAACTTTACTTAGCGGAGACTCGAACTTAACTTAGCAGAGACTCGAACCACATTTTAGCGGAGTAGGTTATTATTATTGAATTTATTCTCCCGCTGCTTATAGCGCTCGCGCAGTCGAACCTCACTTAGCGGAGACTCAAACCCCACTTAGCGAAGATTCGAACCTCACTTAGGGTGCCGTCCCATGGCAGAGATTTTTCGTGTAACGCGTGTCGCATAACCAATCGGAAGCGTACCGCGTTTTCTGTTACGTAAAATATATTTCCATATATATTAAAGAACAAACTTTAACGCCTATATGAAGCACAATTTACATTAAAGACTCTTCAATTTTTATCTGTCTCCAATGGAGACAATCTCAGATGATGATTATCACATTGTCAATTGGCATGCAAGGCTCTGACAAGTTATTCAGTTATTGCAGCTAAACCGAGAGGATTGTATGTCATGTCACAACGCACTAAAGTTATTGGTTTATACAAAACGGTAATGAAATTCTATCTATATACTTATTTAACTTCCAATATCATTTCTAGCACAATATCATATGTTTTTCTTACGAAGTCAGTAAACTCAAGAAGCACTTCATTTTTTTTTCTTATTTGCTAAATTAATTGTCTATTGCATTGTCTTTCAGTTGTTGTACATGGGCCGAGACTATCCGAAGGGATATCAATATTTCAGGACCAAGCTGAAGAGAGCTTTTGTCAAGAATAAAACAGAGACCGAGCCCGAAAAGATAGACAAGATGATAAGTCATGGTAATTTTGTGATAAAAGAACTGGAAGCTTTGTATATGTTGCGCAAGTATAGAACGTTGAAGAGAAGATATTATGATCAACAATAGAAGGAAAGGGTTAAAATAGTACGTCAACTACGTCCAATAATGCTGTATAAATTACATGCTGTTGTCGATATGTGTTTTGTATAAATGTACAATATGTAATTGTTACGAATTTTACTGTATGTCTAATAGCGCGTAGCCTTTGTACCACGCCAATATTTACACTTATATTTTATGCTTTGTAAGTAAAGTTGTTCATCTAAAGAGCGTTTTTCTTTATTCAAGCGCGACTGTATGTACGTACGACGACACACACAGTACAGTAGTGTCGTTCTAACCTAGCTTGTCAACCGAAAGTTGCAGAGCGTTCGCATTGCGCGCTCGCGATTATCTTCGCGTAAAAGATACATTTAACGAAAAATGTGTAGTGTATTGTAACAGATTTCTCTTTGCGTTTTCGTAGAATCTCGTAGAATGGCCGCCTGCGTAGCTGTTATCGGCAAAGATGCAAGTATACACGAGAGTTTTCTGATGTTTCTAGGTTATGATGTATTGATAAAAATATTTTCTGATGCATAACGAAGGATATGTATATAATCGAGTCTCTTTACGAGCTGAAAGCATTTAATTATTCTGTCAAATAACGACGTAAATATCTTGCAGAACTCTCCGAAATTTATCAAAATATATCAATGCGCGGACGAGGCCGCTGGGCTGCAGTTTCACTACAAAGTACACACGTCAATTGATATTATCGAGGAAAAGCTGAACGTAGGGAATAAGACGACAGTCGATATACGCGACTTGTACTTGGGCTTGTTATTTGCGACTGAAGAATACAAAATGTATGTAATATCGCACGTAACGTGTTGCTCTACGACGGATATAAATTATGCTTCAAACATGTTACATTCCTGCTTTCAGATATGGTTATGCCACAAACACAAAGATTAAATTTGTCATAGTATTACAATCGTCCAATGTATCGCTAAGGGATAACGAGATAAAAATGGTAACATAGCTCTCTTCGTATACTTTATATGTAATCTTAATATATATTTTATTAATTGTGATTTATAATTAATATTGTGCACTCTTTGACAATTGGTTGACAGATTTTTAAAAAGTTACACGCCGCATATTCCAATGCTGTTTGCAATCCATTCTACATTCCAGGTGATGAGATAAAGTCCAAGTATGTGTATTAATTTCTATATACATATTTATATAAGCGCGTTAAAATAAAAACATAATTTTCACTGAATTTTCAGATCATTCGATACATCGGTGCTGGAAATAATGGGTGTTATATAATATTTTCCATTTATTTATCAAAGATATTTCATTGTCGCAAAATCCGTGTAAAATCCGTGTATGTTACAAATGATATGCTTTATGTAATTGATAATAAATAATATGTAATTTATATTTGTCATGAGTATATCAACTTTTAATTATTTTAAATTTAATTTTTCTGTTTGTGCATCTTTATTTCTTCCTTACAATTTATATTTTCTACATTATTTTGTTTAGCTAATTATATTTAAGGTTTTATTATTGCTAGAATGAAGCGGCAGATCGATTGATCGGTCGCGTTCAAATCGGGCCTTAAAAGGAATTGATTCAATTCAATCCCGAATATGATAACCTTAACCTCTATTAAAGTGACTCGAGTGAGTCTCGCATTCGTCTCTTCCATCAGACTTTATGATTTGTCCTTGCATCTCGATGTCCAAAACCGACGAATCACAGGCAGGCTGAGAAACAAATCGCTCCATGGAAATGGTTAAAAAGTCACGCAGCATGGCCAGCATGGTGGCAGAACTGCCTGAATCCACCTGAATCGTGAACGTTTGCCGTCAACGTGCGTCGAGGATTTTCATTTTCGGATTTTGTGCGATTTCTTGGAGAGAAAGTATTCGCGTGCGTTGTCATTCGCAATGGTAATTATCACGATCCATCTCCCGTAATCTCGCATATTGTAGTTGTGGTAAATGCTAGTGATACTCTCTCGATTGTTAGAACCCGGTCTTCAGGAAGCATGACAATTAGCTCACATGTCATTGAAACAACGAAGGAATAAATAATTGC